AAACAAGATATGGGAGAATAATTTCCATAACTAAAAAATAAATCATCATTGAAAAAAGAAAATATATACGAAGAAGAAAAGAATTGTTGCATTACAACACTATTATATTGATATGAATGTAATTTAATTTATTAAAATAAAATAAAAAATCGAGTACAATCGATTTAGTTTCGAAGAATAATAAGCTCGAGTTCAATAAAACTAGTTTTTGTCCCGTGTATTTGCACGGAAAACTATATGATACATGAAAAAATAATAAAAATTATAAACAATAGTAAAAATCATAACAAATTCATTGAAAAAAATTAAGAAAAAAAATATAAATATTCTTAAACACTTCTTTATAAAACAACGTCGTGGTTTTTCTATCGTTAAAATCTCCCTCAGCTCAAATCAAAATCTTCAAACCCCACTGACTCGTAACTCTAAAAAGCGCCACGTATAATTGCTCATGACTAAATGCAGAACTCTTCAGTAGTAAGCCGACGTGCGACAGAGATTGTCTTTGACTCTTATTGATCATGTCATAACATAGGAAACACTTCTTTATATTGTTTGTCCTTGACTCTTATTGATTGATAGAGATTGTCCTTGCTTCTTAATAAAAAAAATACCATCTAAATATAAATGAGTAAATATAATATTAATTTTTAATATAAACAAAAAATTTAAAGTAATTGATAATGAGTATAGAATTATCCTTGCGGATTCAAGTTATTTCAACGATGTTCTTTTTATATATCTAAGATTAAATTTTTTTTTTTTTCTGATTTATATGAATATAAGCACATTTGACTAATTTTTATAAAATTTATTGAAAAAAGTTACTATTTTTTTGAAAAACTGATAAGATATTAAGATAATACTGTACTTAACATAAATGTGGGATTAATTAAAATAAATCTTTTTAATTTAGTCATTAACTAATTAAATTTAACTATAAAAAACCTTCTTAAATGTGAGATTAATGAGTAATTAATTAAAAAATATACAACTCCTTTTGGAGGGAAAGTGAAAATATTTTTATTAAATATTTTATTAAATGAGATTAGCTAGCAATTATATATATATAGATTAAATCAAATGAAGTATAAATATGTATTAAACTTAGTTAGAGATAGATGTGTAAGTGATAACAAGTCGAGCATAGTCAAGCTTGAATTCAAAACTTACTCATTTATCAGTATTAATGAGTCTAACTTTAAGGCAAAGTTGAGCCTTGCCAAGTTGATCTACAGAAAATTAAATAAAAAGATCATTTTATTCAAACTCTCCTGAATTTGTTAAATGAAATAAGTTTAAACCACCTCGAGATGAATTGAACTCACGACTCACGAGCGATTTTAACTGAATGGGAGATTCTATGGCCCAATAATTTATACTTGCTAAGTAAGTAAACCACTAACCATTCACGGGCCACAACCTCAAGCTACTAAAAACTTTAACAGGCTGCTCGAGGCGATATTTAAGCCCATAAAAGCCCACTTAGACCAAACTTTAGTGCTTTTTTTTTTTAGAAAATTGCAAATTTGGTCCCAAAACTTTTGTTGTTTCCCACATTTGGTCCCAGGCACGCCAATTATGGTCCTTTTTGAATTTTCGTTACCAAAATGGTCCCACTCCGTCAAGACTTAACGGTCAACGTTTGTAGCCTGGGACCAAATGTGAGAAACAGCAAAAGTTTTGGGACCAAATTTGCAATTTTCTCAAAGAGTAAGTGATAAAAGTTATTTAAATTTATTTTTATTAGGAACATTTTTTTTAAAATTTTTTTAGTAAATGTTAAAAAGGTATATTACCATTATTTCCTAACAATACATTTAGTTTATTTTTTAATAAATTATAAAAGATAAATAGAACTAACATACAATTCTTTCACATTTTCTTTTTTAACTTAAATTAAAGTTTAACTTGATTTTTTACATAAAATTATTATTTAATTGGGTAACTTAACAAAAGGTGTATAAAAAAATTTTATTAATTAGTTCATGATAAATGAGATGCAAAAAAAAATATATGATATATTTTACTATAAATAAGTGTGAGCAAATGTCTATTTTCACTTATTTAATGCCAAATTTTGTTTTATTATGCTTAAGATTGAAATTTTTTATGTAGATGTAATTTGCATAAATAAAAAGATTTTTCAATTTATAGTTGTCAAAATCAAATTGATAAATAAAAAATTATTAAAATAAAAATAGACAGTAATAAAAAAAATTGTTTAGATTGGGTTTTTTTTTACTTCGTATTATTTAATAAAGTTTGTAAGGATATATATAAATTATCACATTATACTAATATTTAAAAGTGTAGACGAATTAGTATTATTGTAAGCATATTCACATTTTTTCTTATTTTGATAAATTGGACTATGTCTTTTGGTTTGCTTTATTTAATTAAAATAATATTATTTCTAAATATTCTTTAATTTAAATAATATTCAAATAATTGCTAATATTTTTTAAGTAATGACGGTAAAAATATTAGAAAATAAAATAAATACCACACAATTAGCAATTATATCGTTTACTTTTCCACCCAAAATTAAAATTTATCAACGCCTTTACTTTTCCACTCGATATTTATTTTTATAAAATTATTTTTAATATTTATTTCTTGCATAATATTCATAGTAAATTAATTTTATTATGTCATTTCGGCTTTGAGTGAATGAGAGAGACTTGAAGAACTCATTTTTTTTTTTTTTGAAAAACTGCAAAATTGGTCCCAAAATTGCAAAATTGGTCCAATCTAACGTCCTCACATGAGCCCCGTTAATATTGACGGACGTGGGACCATTTTGGCAACAAAAATTCAAAAAGGACCACAATTGACGTGTCTGGGACTAAATGTGCGAAACAACAAAAGTTTTGGGACCAAATTTGCAATTTTCTCTTTTTTTTTTTTCCTTCTTCTTTTTGTTTCTTAAATAAGTTATTGTCTTTCATTTGAACAAGCAAAGCTACATGCTCGATAAGCTTCCTCATTGAGAGACCTTGAAGCCATTTTCTTGATTTCTCCTTCACCAACTGCCTCAAATGTTCTTTAGTCACCACCCTCTAGTAAATTCACACGAGTCGATTACAACGTGCAATCTACTGAACCCAAAGCCCACCGGACAAGACAATTCTAGACGTTCAAACACCAAAGGAGTCAACTTATGTACACTTTGTTCCCTTACCGATACAAAATAACCCTCTACTCGTGCACGGTTTGAGAAATATTACGGGATGTTGCCATCTTTAGTCGAGCGTTTTTCTCGGGTCGGTGCCTAATTTGGCAAAAAAACTATCTAGGGTTGACGAGTGTCGTCGAAAAGAGGAAAGAGTTGTATGTTTTTACACTTCCCCAACTTCATAGTTCATTCCAAAGAGAACAAAGAAACAAACTTCTTCATAGCAAAACATTACAAGATCATCTCAAGAGCCATCAATCAAATAAAGCAAACATTCAAGATTTTAACACCTCGAGGCTCTCACAAAGCTCATATCCAAATTCAAATTACAAAAAAGCAATCGAAATCGACATTTAACCAACGAATCAGCCAAAACATTTTGTAGCGACAAGAAAACCGCTTTTCGCTACCAAAATCTCGAAGTTTGTTTGTCCCCCACAAAACCAATCAAATTCTTCGACTTTCCTCTCAAGTGTAGAGAGGCCAATCGGTCCACGCCCCCGAGACATGTCCATTCTCACACACATAAGCCCGAACAAAGGGCTCACCATCATCATGAAACCCGAAATGCCTTCTCAAACAAAACGAGGAATGAAGGTCCCATGTCTGGGTAGACGAGCAAAACGCGCAATGCAAGTCGATCTTGCTCCGGCCACCTTCGTTGATCGTCCTCCAAACCCTAGACTGCTTGAAGTCCTTGAAAATCCCCCGAAAAAGCATGTAATTCCTTTTCTCCCCAACGTGAATGCAGCCTGGCCAATCGCATATGTACAGGCAATCGTCCTTAAACCGGCTACCCAGCAGCTTGTTCCCCTGCTCGCGGCTGAGATTCCAAATCCCGGCGGCCAGATGTGACCTGAGGGACCCGCTGCCGCAGGTTTTCTTCCTCCTCTTACAGGCGGAGGAGAATTCGGGATTTTCTTCTTCGATTTCCCCAATTTCGGGTTTCATTTCGGGCTTTTCCAAAGTTTCTGAATCGGTGTATAGGGTATCGAATAGAAGATCGTCGTACAAGGACCAGATGCAGTCGGTGGAGTCGGCCTCGCCGGTGCTTCGGCTAGACGACGCGGCGGCGGCGGCGGCGGAGGTGGCGGCGGGTTCGTTCGGCCGGAACAATCTTTGCTCGAGGTAATTCTCGTCGGGTCCTAGCTCGCGCTCGAGCCCGAAATCGGAGTTCTCGAGAAGGACGCCGGAGTGGAGGAGGCCCGGGCAGCAGACGGAGAGCTTGTACAGCGACGCCCAGACGTCGGGTGGCAGCGGAGGCGACGCCGGCGAGAGGAGATCGGAGATAACGGCGGGGATCGACTGCGAGCATTTGGTTTTGCAGCAGATTGTGCGGATTAGGGAGGAGAATTTAGGGGAGACGCAGGCGACCTGGGCCCAGCACCGGGGATCCTCCTCGAGCTTGTAGAGGATGTTGAGGACGACGTCGTCGGAAAGCCTGGAAAAACCATTTTCCGGCATGTCTCCGGCGTGATTGGGGCGGTGAGTTATTCGCCGGAACACGCCAATAAAATGGGAACCGCACACAGAGGAAAGAGAGACTCTGAGAGAGATGAGAATAAAATAATATCGTTTGTTTCTGTGGTGGGTATTTATTGGGAGATGGGGTGTTTTTAACAATTTGGGTACCTTTTAGGGTTGAGACTGTAAGATTGTGAAAATTAGGGAATGAGCATTTAACTGCTACTATTTTATTTTATTGAATGGATAATATGTTGATTATTTAATGAAATATGAAGACATGTTTGATTTATAGCGTTTGGGACTAAATTACAATTTGGGATAAATTAGAGGTATGACCAATTAGAGCTTTTAATATAATTATTGGGTAAGTAATGATTTATAATAGCTTTCAATTCAAAAAACTAATTTTGAAAAAAATCATAAATATAAGCTATTTGAAATTAAAAATGCTAAAACTGTTTTTACATAATAATAAGTTAATTTACAACTAATTCAATTAACTATCTGCTATGTCAGACAATGTCGAATTTTAAAGTGAAGATTTGTTTGTGAAAACTAATGCTCGAAACTTAGGTGGAAATTGATATAGTATAATTCCATTTTTCTTATTATAAATACTGAAATAAAACCACTTATATATTTCTATCTATCTGTTTTTCACTCACATATTTTCAACTATATGTCATTATACATTAATATGTTATTATTTATACATCACGTGATTAATTTTAATATTCATTCACAGTTTTAAATGCATTTTACTTTCTAATAAAGTTATTTATTTTCATTTTTTTGTTTTTTAATTTCTGCTGTATGGACCAAAATAAAAGTTGTATATCCCAAAGTATTTGACAGTTGTGTGTGTATATAATTGGAAATCCTACCGTCTGTATTCAAGGAATGTGAAAACGTTGAGCCAATATTGTGGATACAAATTTTTCACATTTATAATATCTCCAAGTCACATGTGGAATTCTAAATTTATTAAAATGTCATAAGATTTGTATCAAATTCAGTGTACAAAGGAACAAATTGCATATTATGTGCTATATAAATTAGTTTGGTCAAGCGTATAAAAAAATCTATTCATTCAGTGTGCCATAAAAAAATGGCCATACTTACGCAAATAAATAAATAACATCTATATACAATAAAATATCATACTATATTTGTATTGACCGTTAAAAGATGACTATGTATATTTCTTGAAAATTATGATTATTGTTCGTTATAAATAGTCATACCTAATAACAAGTTGATGAGACAATATTATCATATCATGTATATTTGTTGAATTATAAGACTATTATATATTAAAAATAGTCATACTGAATAATAAATTGATGAGACAATAGTATGTATATTTGTTAAAAAATATGACTATTATGTATTACAGATAGTCATACTGAATAACAAGTTAATATGACAATATTATGTATATTTGTTGAAAAATATAACTATTTTGTATTACAGGTAATCATTAAAAGTTGATGAGACAATCAATTAACTATCACTACTCAATTTTTTATTTTTTTTTTAACATGATAAGTTAACTTTTAAAAAAATAGTAAGTCTTGGCTGAGGTTCTTTAGATTATTTGTGATGTTTTATGCATGAAAACCCCAGAATCAATGCTTAATATTAGTAGGAAAGAGCAACTTTGCTGACCAGAAAATAGTTATCATGTACTTGGATTACAAATCAAATGCTTCTTTCATCCTTTGGCCATTATTAATAGAAAAATGTCAATAAAGAAATCTTTTAATTCCATATATTTAATATAATTTGTGCAGACCATAAAATAGTTATCATGTACTGCTCAGGGTGCCACGAAATACTACTATACTAACACAACACGATTACAGACCATAAAATAAAATTTTGACACATTTGTACTTATCATATTTATGATCAAACAAAATAATTGTGCAAAAGTAGGGCATTTACTAACGGAAAGCATGAACAAAACACAATAACACAATTTGCATATTAGTATTGTTATTTGTTTACTAAATGACTTGATAATAGTTAATAGAATTTAGAGTTTTAAGGCCCCACTAAAATTAGGCCAAAAAATTACAATAACACATACCAAAAAATTGAATCGAAAGGGGAAAAAAAACAAAATTACAATTTGACAAGTGAAATGAAGTAATGAACACATACCACAAAATTAATCTAAAAGGGAGAAACTCTTGTTGAGCATAAGCAGATAAGTCCCAGAAAATCTCACAGTAGTAATGATAAAGTTAAACAGCAGTTCAAATTTTTAAGTTGTAAGTTGCTAAAAAAAGTCCCCACAAATCTCATGAAAACAGGATTTCAAAACAAATGATAAATATCTGCATACACAACATAAAACCAGAACAGTTCAGTACTTTGAATAGCAGAGAATCTAGTTTCTCCCCTTTCTCACAGCGAAATCCAGTCACATGATGGAATCTTAGCCGGCAACATTTTTCACCTGTCAAATGAAATTAAGAAAGATGTTCAATTAGGATAAAGAAACTAAGGGTGTGCTTGTTTACAAACTAATCTGCTCAAAATGAGTTTGTTTGTTAACCAAGATTAATTTTGAAAAAAGTGGTAGGTTAGTTGTTAGTGGGATTTTGAATTTATATTAGTATAATATTGAAAATAAAATAATTAAAGTTGATTTGATGTAAAAGTAGGAGAGAGATGATGTGTAGTAATAGCTAGTTAAAATTTATGTGAGTGGATAAATAATATATTAAAGTCGATGTGATTTGTACTAATGATTAATTTATATTATTTAATTATATAAATAATATCAAGGATAGTGTAGTTGAGTTAAAGTTAAATTGAATTTTGAGTATGAATTAAATGTGAATGAGATATTTTATAAACAAACACCCCGAAAA